CTAAGCGCATAGGCGGCAAAGTGAGTATATTAAATTGCAGACTATTTTGTCTAACCGTATTTGCTACCTAACGACTCACACGAAATCACTCGTTCATATAGAAACATGATCAGTAATCACACGCAGTGTGATCTTACCGGAATATTGATCAGGCTTCGAAGCGATCACGGGAATTATGCTCTTTTTTGCTGGTATTATACCCTTATATTATGCCCTTTATTATGCTTCACGAATCACGAGAGCGGCGCAAATTAGATAGTTGAAGTTATGACAATGTAAAGTTGTGCATACAATTTAGTTGTTTGCGCAAGAAACATTATGAGTAATGTAAGTAATCAGATAATGATGAAACACGCCCTTTTGGCAGCCAGGCAAGGAAACCTTAAAATGCATATGCGTGGGTTCCGTGTGTTATTGTATAAAAGAGCTGTAAGTTGTAAATGTATTCAGATCAGTAGAGAATAAAATTGGGATTAGATTAATTGCTGGAAGTAGTTAGCATTGCCCAATTTAAGTGCTGCTACTAAATTCTAACCAATTTTCAAATTTCGACACGTTGTAATGCCGTTTCCTGACCATCAGATTTCTGTCAAATCTTCCCCCAAAGTCCAGGAAATGGCATTTCAGAGACTCTAGATTCAAAAATTTTCCGGGGGGGCATGCCCCCGGACTCCCCTAGAACAACCTCGCACCTGCGGCGCTCGGCTTGTGCCTTCGGCCCTCGTTTATCAAGAGTAATATTATAGGGGCGCATATTAGTTGCCAGCCGACTGGCCCCCCCAGAAAAATGGTACCCAGCACGCCACTGGCATCAAATCTTTTCTCATAATATGCTTTTTTTGCACCCTTGATCAAGTGGGTAAGCTTATTTTTATATTTCTTATACCGAGATTCTCGTGCGGGATTTCTTTTTGCCATGAATTGTTTGTATAATTTATTCTTTTTCCTAGTAGACACTAAAAGCGCTTTTGTCATCCATGGCGTTAGCGGTCTATTTTTATTTCTTTTAACAACCATTACTGGAAAACTGAGGTCATATATTCTTAAAAATTCATTTAAAAAATTATTGTACATAATATTCGGATCGTTATCAGAATAATTTGACCAACCTACATTGGTAAGGTGGGTGCGAAATGTAGCTATATTTTTTTCGCTATAGTCACGTGTAACTGTATGATTATTTCGATTTTCATGTACAGGAGAAGACTCTGTGAAAGTATAAACAAATACTGGTAAATGATCAGAAAGATCGTTTAAAATAATGCCGCTAAATAATTGAGGCGATAAATTATTCGTAAAAATGTTGTCAATAAGTGTTGCCGAGTGCGCAGTGATGCGAGTTGGTCTATTTATAAGTGGATAGAACATGTGGGAGAAAAGGCTATCAACAAATTCTTGTGTAGGAGAATGTTCATTCAAGTGGAACATATCTATGTTGTAATCGCCTATTATATAACATTCCTTGTTGGATTTAGAGATGTTAAATAAAATTTGATTGAATTGTTCTAAAAATAACACCAAGTTATGGTTTGGCGGTCGATATACTGTTCCTATTATGACATTTTTCCCATTGGGAACTGTGATTTCAACAAACAATGACTCGATTAGGTTAGGGTCAGAAAAGATGCAGTTTGTTAGCAGTCTGTGTTCGCAATCACTTTGTAAATATAAGCCAACTCCACCTCCGACTTTTTTAGTCCTGTGATTAGATAAAAATTTATAACCCGAAATATCAACAAGGTCCTGCGTAGTATCACTTAGCCAGGTTTCAGATATACCTATAGCAGAGAAAGAGTGAGGCATATTTTCTAATAACGATTTTATATCATCTAGTTTATTAAACAAACTAAGTGCATTTATGTGTAAAACAGAAAAAGAAGGCACTACATCTTGTTTCGATTTAAAAGTCGCATTGATATCATCATGAGCCATATAACTACTGGAGCAATGAACTGGAAAATTTTTGTCTGGATCTAAATTATCTAGCAAATTGTCAAAATAAGACTGGTTTGTAATTGGATTAAATAACAGCGTATCTAGCCGGTCAGAATCATAATTGTTATTCATGTCAAAAGCCAGGACATTTGGCAAAATCCTGCCCCTTGGCTAATCAACAACCAGTTAATACTAAGCTCCAAGTTATGATAAGAATTGGCAAATGGATAGACACGTGACCATTTGCTATCGTTGTGGGAATAGTGGCCATATTGCAAAGTTCTGTAATGCCAAGTTGGAGGGAGGTCTGGGTTCTAGTAGAGATGGTGAAAGCCCCAAGAAAAATGATTAAAAAATCAGACTGTCTACCGTTTCTTCAGCGAGTAAGAAGAAAACCCTTATGGTCGAGACTACTATTAATGGGAAAAACAAACTTTGTATAGTTGATACTGGCGCATCCATTTCATTAGTTAGTAAAGACCAGTGGCAACCTCTTAAACTGGATGATACCCCATTATTTCCATCCGATATTGTTGCAGAAGCCGCTAACAATTCTCCCATTGGGATCTTGGGCAAAACCACCTTGAATGTGCAATTTGATGAAAACAACAAGTCATCTCATAACTTTTATGTGGCTAATGATGGTGTCTGAAATTTTTCTGGGTTTAGATTGGTTAGTAACTAACAAAGTAAATGTCGATATGACTGAAATGGTTTCGAAATTCCCAGATGGTACCACAAAACCCTTGTGTTTATTTGATTCAACCATAGCAGATCCCCTGGGCGTTGTTCTAGATGAGGATTTGGTTGTTCCGGTTTGGACATCCCACTTTAA